CAGAAGGCTCAGAGCAATAAACACAGACAGATGTGACAAAGCTCCTGATGTGCAGAGCTACATGTGGCTGGGTGTGGCAGGAGTGGAAGAAAATGGATGGGTGGAATGAGGTGAGGTGGGAGAAAGGCCTGGACTGAAATGAGAGGCAGAGGCTGAGAAGATAGCAGAGGGCCTGGCACCTTCCCCACACGGGGACTTCCGCCACAGTGGCAACTGTCACGCTGTACTTAATTGCCACTCCATGTAGCGTTCTCTTTTATGAGCTGCTGGCAAATAACAGTGAGGTGCCAGCTTTGTTCTCAGAGGTATAAGAATTACAGGAAGCTAGTGAGGGGTCACAGGGCTAGAGCCACTGAGATTCTTCCTCCCCTTCATTGTCCCACTGTCTGAACACATCTCAAAGACTCGGCCCACCAGCTGGGGCTCTGTAATTGTCCTGTGTACCCATCAGGTGTGCAGCCACACGCTGATCCCAAGATAGGTCACAGCCGCCATCCTATTCATCACCTCCCATGCCTCCCACCCCTCCAGTCAGAGCTCAGCACTGAAGGTGACTTCCAGCATCTATGACATCTGATCTGACTCTATACCAACACAATTGCTGGTGAAAAACCAAGCTGCACTGTTAAACACGAGATTTAGAATTAGATACCTCTGCCTTGGACTAGCTGTGTGATCTCAGAAAACCCATCCAAACTCTATGAACTTTTGAATCTGCATCGGTGAAAGGATGGATACATTCTGTGTGAATCTATTTTGATAAGGAGGGATTCTCTTATAAAGAGCTCAGTATGTTAAAGACACAAATAAATGCTGGCCATCATTACTATGAAAAAAAAGTTCAAGCTTGCAATCCAAGGTACCAGATGTTTAATAATAGTACAGAAAAATAACTTTTTGCCATTACCCATTATGTGAGTTCAGGTTGCTTTAAAAGAATACATAGAGGAGTCGTTTGAACAACAGAAATGTGTTCCTCAAAGTTGGGAGTAGGGGCGTCTGGGAGTTTAAGGGCAAGGCACCAACAGCCCAGGGCTTGATGCCTGTCTGGTGCACAATGTATGGATATCTTTCATGGTAGAGAGGAGATCGCTTCTCTAAAGCCTTTTTCAGTCTTTAGCAGTCATGTTATTCCTGCTCTGAATGCTTCAGCTCTAAATAAAAAAAGAGAAGGAATCTGCTTAAGGTCTGAGCAAGAATCAATGAAATCAATTTGCTACTTAGACAAGCATACTTCTATACTTCTCTTAGCCTGGACCCACCTTGCTGGGATATGGATATGAAAGATGAATAGCATATGAGGGATGAAGAGGCCATGTTAAAGACAATGCACACACACACACACATATAGTATACTATTTTGGGGATTGAATCTAGAGTCCTCTTCGTGCATGCTAGGCATATACTCTACCATTTCAGCCACGTCCCTAGCTCAGGGCTAGTTTTAGACAAGTTAGTTTTTGGATTTTCTTTTCCTGAAGCTGCCCTACTTTCCTCCCATGGCTCTGGGAGTCCTATTTGAGTTGTAACCAGCTTTTTATGAGCACCAAGAACAAGAGTTCTTAGCTCTTTGGAGAGAGACTATAGAGAACTCCAAAGATCATTCTTTCCAACAATGTATGAGACTCATTCTGGACACTCACCAACCTGCTTTCAACTGAGAGCCACTGAGCCACTAGCACCAGCAGACCTAGAACAATTTTCCTCTTCCCAGGCCATGGACCTTTTCCACAAAGCAAGGCATGCACAGATCCTTGCTCAGGTGGCCTGCAGCTCCTTCAGGGAGTTTAATTTATAGTTGGGTGAGTTATCATTCATGAACCAGGAAGGGCAACATTATCCTCATTATTCTGCTTGCAGTTAGTTCTGATGCCTGAGAAGCCACTGGGTCCTGCCACATCTAGAATTAGCTCTAAGCCCTTGGGTTTTTAATTAAAGGGCTTTGTGAGTCAGACTGTTTATGGTCAGTTTCAGATCTTTAGGGAGACACAGAGGGAGGTCCCCATTGGGTGACTCCTTTAGAGTACGCCTTTAGAATTTGGCTGCCTTGTTCCATGCAAAGTCTGGTGTCTCACCTCTGACTCAGGCAAAGGCTTGCTTGTGGCTGAGCCTTGCTCACGCCCAGCTCCACCGACCCCAGGCTCTGATGGAGCAGGGACAGTAGGTATGTACGTTGCATGCATGGCATTGCACTTTTCAGTGCAAGGGAGGTCTGAGTTGGGCCAGCCTTGTTGGATTCTGTTGTGGTTTCCAGAGTTTACCACAGCCTGTTAGTGTTGCTCACCCAACACAGTTTCCACTTTGGGTGGTTTGTGCTAAGTGCATTTTCCATCCCCAGTGGCACAGGAAATAAAAGGAGTGGCATGGTGTGTGTGGAGAGCAAGGCTGCCTGCTGTGTGTCTGTAACAATCGCCTCTCCCAGGGGTACTGGAAAGCCTAGCCTCTTCAAATAGTTCAACTCCTGTTACAAAAGGACTTAAATAAAATTGCTCCTTTGACTATAGATGTCCGGGTCGCCTGCATAGTAATGATTTGTCCAAGCAGAGTCTCTGGGGTTGAACATCACACCATTCCTGACTGCAACCTTTCAGAGGTGGTAAGGACACACTTGTCAGATTTCTCCACCTAGTGTCCCTGTAAAGGGATATTACCTCCTACAGTGCCTTCCTACAGGAGTGTCTACACCATGACTTCAACTAGCCCCATTGCTTTTCCTGTAAGCCACTGCAATCTCCCACTCTGAACCTAGCTTTGTGTTAGAACAAGGCCTGTGTCTTATACCAGCAGTGCCCACCTGTAGCATAGACCATGGTATTCTGCCCCATTGGCCTTTCAGGGCTCTTGCCAATGGACTTAAGTTCCTTTATTTTCTCCTGGAGGCGGATGTATGTAAGGAAGTTCGATGAGTCTCTACGCATATCATTCTGTTAGGATGCCTCAACATTGGCTCTACTGCTGTATTTTGGGTAAAATAGTCTTTGTTCTGGGGCCTCCCCTGTGCATTGTAAGATATATAAGAATATTCCTGACCAGTGGCACCATACATACTTCTATTGTGACAAAAGTCTGTAGACTTTGCCAAATGACTAATCATTGTTTACATTTACCAAAGTATCCTTCTGGCTTTTTCAAAGAAGGACACTTAGGCCATCAGGAAACCCACTCAAGTTGAAACAATGAGATTGGAACAGAACCACAAGTACAATATAAATCCTCTGTCTTCGTCTCCCAGATCCATTCAGTAGAATGCTGGCAAAAATGTTTACTAATCGATTGTCTAGAATAAACAAAACAAAACACAATTGAATAGGGTGTGTGCCAATTTCCATGGTGTAAATCTCCTCCCATGCTTTGGTTTAAGGTAGTTGCTTGACATCACTGAATGTAAAGATGGGAAGGGGATGTATAGGTGACTGGGCCAAGCTGGTGCTAATGGCTCCCTGAATGTCACTTGATTCCTATGTGCAGTTGTTCTCAAAGTGAACAGCATTGAGCTCCCCCTCACTTCCTGACCTTCTTCTTCCATAGCAAACACACCGACTTTTCACTGTGATGTGCTATGGCAAGGGTTTTTGGTCATCCCTCAGGTAAATATAGAGCAGTTAGAGTGGAATTTTCTCTTGTCTGGCAACAGGCAATTTCTTTCCACAGTCTTTCATTAAGGAGTTGGAGAGGCAATGGGGCCACTCTGCTCTTAGAGAACAAGCATCAGTATTTCTTCTCCAAGAATTCATTCCTGGACAGAATGAATTCTGGGCAGGGACTGAGTGCTGTCATTCACATCTGTCATAGTAGGTGGGAGGTACCATATGAGGATGGCCAATGGGCTAGTGGATATACCACTCTAGGCCTTAGGAGATGAGACTTGGCTGGAAATTTAGTCCAGATGTAAACTAGTGATGAATGAGAGCCTTAGTTTCCTTCGTGTGAGAGTAACTTTCTAATATGGCTGTAAAGCAGAAATGAACTCATGCATGTTCAAGACTCGAGTAACTTCTTGCCCCTTTGCTGCTTGATGGACTGTCTATTTGTCATGATAATGTGAACTCATTGTCTTTGAGGACCTGGTTGGTCTTAGCTTTTTTACTTCTGCCATAGCTTAGTGCTATATGCTCCTGGTCCTGGGAGGGCCTGCGACTAGAAAAGAATAAAAGCTGTTGATCAGGGAGTCCATGCTCTCCTCATACCTTTGGTATCTTCTCCTTATGCAACTTATAGGCATCACGTGTTGTGACTAGAATGCAGGTAGCCCCGGGGGAGGGGTGGGAACATGTGGGCATCTGAATTTCATTCTGAAGTTCTGAGACATCCTGAAAAGGGTTTAAACAGGAAGGACACATCTAACGATGCGATGCGTACTTTAGAAAGTTCCTTCTTTCTGCCCAGGCAGAATGAAACTGGTGAAGAGGCTGTCATGACAGTCCGGTCAAAAGGTGACAAGGCAGCTCCTGGGTACTATAAAGCTAGTAATGGCTGTGATTGTTCAGGTGAGGGAAAGCCCAGCATGGATTGCTGTATAGGGTGTTGGGGGGAGGGGTAATCGGAGAGGCTTTCTGGAGGAAATAACTTGCTGGTCGTGAAAGACGGCAGAAATAGCGGAAGTGAAAGTCTAGGCTATAGTACAGGGTCAGAGTTCACGAATCTGAGGGTTTACAGAGTTTATGGAAAGAATGGGACTTGTTTATGGAGGGACTAGGACACCTGGTTTAGGAATATGGATTTTGCCAGAAGATGGTAGGTCTCCAGTGGAAAGTATATCTTTCTGTCTTCCTCCTGGTGATTTTATTTGGAGATCGTATTGTTTTTCCTTCTTCTACGCACTGCTTCTAGTTCCTTTTGCTCCACACCAAAGTGTGAGGTGCCTGGGGCCATGGTGTGGAGGAAGGACCTTCACCTTAGTCAGCCCTGCCTGAGCTGTTGGGAAAGCAGGATCCCTCAGTGTCCTGAGGATGAATGAAGTACTGAACACTTATCATATGACTCCCAAATTTGCCTTGCAGCAGGAAGCCCAGCAAGGACAGCAGCTGTGCTATTGTCTGGAGCAGGATTGGAGTTCTTCTGGGAGCCAGGGCTGATAGCTCGACAGATTAACTGGTTCCCGGCTGTCCCAGGTACGTGGAGTGCTGTGACTCCTTTCTCCTTACCAAGTGTGATGGGAGGGTGTCATTTCCTCAGTGTCTGTTTCATGCAAGCGTATCTATCTCCAAACACAAAGGTGGAGTAAGGCAGCGTCAGAATGTCTGAATGAAATGAAATTTGGGCCCTCCTTGAAGTGTCAGAAAACAGAGTTTTCTGGGAAGTGAGGTAAGCAAAGGAACTTTATCTCTGATGCTTATATGAAGAAACTGAGGTTCAGAAGTGCAAAGTAACTCCTCAGAGGCAGCCTTAACAGGAACGGGCAGGAGCTAAAAATGGGCGGGTCTTGAGCTTCAGTGTGCGCCCATTGGCCTGGACTATACAGAAAGGACTCTGTTTTCACAGTATTTTTAGTAGAGACTGCTGTGTAAAGGGATTCCGTCTTCAGATGTCAGGGCATGTTATCAGTTACCCTCTATAGAAGCATTCCCCCTGACAGGCTTTAGCCATGGACAGTCTCAAGGCCCAAGACAGCCCAGCCCAAAGCCCTTCATTAAATAAAAGGCAAGAGTGACTTGCCTTTGAGTCTTAAAGAGATTTAGGGTCAAAGCATAAATAGGACTCCAGATCTGCTTCCCAGCCTAGCATGCCTTGTCTTCTACTAAGTCATGTGATATAAATGAGGTCTCCACAGAACCCCCAAATGGTGTCCCTCATGGGTGATGCTGAGGGTGGGGACTATGGGAAAGATGGAGGGGGTACTCCAAGGAGCTTGTAGGACTGCCATAGTGTTTGCCATGTGAGGCCCATGTGGCTTCGGGTATGTGAGTGCTGCAGGGATTCCTACAGTATGTTATCCCATAATGAGAATTGCTGGAAACTTGAGCAACAAATGTCTCTCACTCCAGTGTCTCTCAAACTGTTCTCAGTGAAGTATGGCCACATACTGTGTCTTGCTTCCTTACTCTGAGTCAGCATGACCTTGAATCTCTGTAACGTTCTGTTACATAAATGTTAGGCTTGACTGTCCAAGGCAGCTTTACCTCACTAATTTAGGGAAGTCAGTCCTATTGGCTAAAGTTCATATAGATGCTAAGTACTACATTGGTCACTTGAAATACTGGGTCACCTAATCACCCGGCAATGACGTTAGTATTCCCAAGGCAAAGATAAGGCCCCAAGGCCAAAAAAATTGCACAAAGTTGAGACTGAAGTAGGCAGCTGTGGAGGTGGAGACCCTAGGCCCTGATCACAACCCCAAAAGCACTTGACATACTATCTTTCTGTTCTTCTACCCTCAAGTCCTACCTAGACTAACTCCAGCCTATTATTTTACCTACCTTCTTCTCTGTTACCTTCTTCCTCCCTCCCCAGTCACACTGAGCTGTTTACTCTCCTAGTTTTATAAATTAAACCATCTAAACTTCTCTTTTATACAAGGCTCTGGGCTAGTGACCAGGGGCCTCTGAGATAGGTATAATGTGGCCTCTTCTCTTAAGGAATCATTCATCCAATGCTAGACAAAAACCATGAGCCCAGAAAGCTATGGACCTTTGGAAGAGAAGTCTCATTTGACTTTCAGAGAGTCCATAGAGGGTTGCTGCTGTGTATTTCCATACAATCTGCATTTAAACAAATTTTCATCAGTAGATCGGAGAGTAATGGCTAAGAGTCACATAGTCCAACTACAGCCAAGTTCAAGGGTAGACCCCTGTCTCCTTGCCCTTCTGTAAAGCATTTGCACTATATCACTATATGAAGACATTCTCTTGGCTTACATCTCCTGCAGGTGCTTAGATATAGACTCTACTATGTGGACTATTCATTTCTGTCTCATGGCTCTCTTCCCAGTGAAGACAATGTGGGGTGTCAGCTGCTGAAATCTCTAACCTGAGTTTTACACCCCCTTCCCCCGCAAATGATGCTCCTATAGCTGTGACCATTGAAAAAGAGGAAGGGAGGAAAAATGCCCTGTGTTTGGCATATAACTGTCCTGTTGCTCATGACTTTTAAGAGGAGGCCAAGATTCTTGAGTTTCAAACATATCCCTCCTTTTCCCTAAAGGAGAAATTTGGGTGAGGAATTCTCTGGAAATGGTCTCCAGGAGAAGGAATCCACCCTGGCAGTTTGTGCAGAGAGTAATATATGACTTCATTGAAAGGCTTGGTGGAGTCTTCCGAGGGTTCTAATCTATTTGATGGGGACCCTCACTTCAGTGGCTTCTTAGGGGTAATTAAGATCATGATCAATCTTAAACTCCAATCTGAAAATGGAATGAATGTGAACTTGAGAGTGGGAACTTGGCTTTTACAGTTATTCGGCGACCACTGGTCACTCCATGGCCTCCTCACCCCATACTCCAGGCAAACATCTGCGTGAATCATCTGGATCATTCTTCTTATAGCAGTGTATAGGTTGGCTCCAACAGCTGTGGGTTCACACGGACACTTCACTTTTCACCATTAAGATGGGATAGCCAATCTCAGCCTCTCTGGGTTGCTCTTCAGTTCCTTATTTGTAAAATGTGGGTAATAGAAATACTGTCATTGCCAAGAGTGTTGATCTGAGGCCTGAGAGAAACATCCATGTGGTATTCATGGAATTGCCTATAGCTCATGATCAGTGAATGAGAGTCTATGCTTTTTGGGCCATATCACCACCATCTCATCATCAGCTCACTGACTGGACCACCCAGGATCACCTCGGCCAAGTTCATGCCTATCAGTCACTCTGGTATCTGGGATGCTCCCAATCTGGCTCTCACCATGAGCCAGAGAAATCTGAGCGGCTGAGAAATCTGATGGTAAGCCAGAGAACTGTTCTAGTCCTGGCTTTGCTGGGCAGCACTGGGCAAGTCCTTTCCCTTCTCTTGATATCAGATGTGTTCTGATTACCTCCACAAGAAGAGAATAATAGTAATAGGTGGAGCAGCCGCTGAGAAGTCATGCACATACCCTGTTTGTATGCTCTAATTTAGACAGTGGGTCTCACCTAGTTACAAACACTTACAGCTTTCAGCAGCCTCACTGTGTTCTCTTGTGCGAGGCTCCAAGGCCTGCCAGAAGGTGTCTCCAAGAGCTCTGCCAGAGGTGGAGGCTTCCCAGAGCTGCCTGGGCTTTCTCATGCTACACAATATCCCCAGCTCACAAGTCCTGAGATGTTCCATGGTTGGATCAAGGTCAGAAATGGCCGCTTCAGAAAACAGACAGATGTTGTTGCTTTCTTGTTTGGGTTTTCCTTTACCTGTTTTGATGGGTGAGTTGGATTCAGCACCGAGTTCCTGATTTCAAAAGAATAGCAGATTCTTTTTCCCTCTTGGCTAGAGATTCTTAAGAAGTCTGGGTATTGATTGGGGAAGAAGTAGAACAAAAGCAGGGGAAATTAAATTTTGCCTCCTTCCTTACAGAGTCCATTGAGGCCAGAGTAGTTGGAGCTGCCCACCTCCAGGCAAGGCTGCTATCTGGTGGCGATGTGTAAAGCTAGGCCTTGTGGAGCCAGGGTGAAACCTGCAGACAACCAGGGCTTGCTCCCCTGCAATAGGCTATTCTCTCTCCAGCAGGGATACACAGAGGTAGTGGCTGCTGCTTTCCACATTGGTGGACCAGCCAGTGGTCTTGGGTTATCCTAGAGTGAAAGCCAGAGAGCCTTCACATCTCGGGGTCTAGTTAGTTATCAATATTGGTGAGGGGGTCAATTTCTGGGTTGCAAGGGCATAAGGAACATTATTTTCAAATATCTTGTTAGACTTACCCTATATATACAATATCAGCATGACTGCCTTGTAATCTAGGTATGTAGACTCTTTACAGATAAGGCCAACAAGCCCAAGGACCCTAGAGACAGCTTGGTTAACAAAGGAAGGATGAGTTTTATCCTGAAGGACTCTGTGTGTGTGTGTGTGTGTGTGTGTGTGTGTGTGTGTGTGTGTGTGTGTGTGTGTGTGTGTGTGTGTAGAAACTAGAAAGTATGGAACTGTCCAGCAAAGTCCATCACATTGAGATAAGAATAACTAGTTCCACTGGACAGTAGATTACATTTGGGTGTCTTTTTGTGCCTAGTCAGAACTGGGTTATAATTCAACCATATTATCAACAGGACCTCTTTACTCTCTCAAAAGTATCCAAGTTTGGGTGATAAATCATGAAGTAACCCTAATTATATGTGACCACATACATGGAAGTGGTTAACAGCACTTAATAGAAATGTGTGGGTAGATAATTTAAGTGAAAACTTGTGCTGGCTGCTTTGACAGCCCTGAAATGGGCTGTGGCTTAGCTCCATAACAGGCATGCGTAAGTCACCTCAGTGGTTCATAGCAATGCGGCTCAGAGGTGAGATCCGGGGCCAAAATGTCACTTAAACAGTGGCCTGGGATCTTTTGCATAGACCTTTACAAAATTATTTACCCTAGGTATAAATCAGGAACAATCATCATTCTCATAGAGAAATCCTAAGAACCTTGCAGATTTCTTACAGTTATTAATGATCTATCTAAATCATCTAGCTTACTTCCTGGCCCATAATTGACAAATAACTAATGATTGTTATCATCGTTTCTTATTCCAGAAGGATTACTATTTGGACTTTACTCTCACCATCTGTGACATGCTAAGAGATGACCTGTGTTCTGACTTCTGTCCCTCATACTTTCAAAGGCTGAAACCGGGCAGCTCCCCAAGGGCCTCCACTGTGAGCAAAGAATAATTTGCCTGCCATTCTAGCTGCTCTGTCCTCTGGGACATGGGACTTTCCCAAAGCACCATCTCTTCTACCTACTGATGACCCTCCCATCTGGGGCCTCTCTTCAGCCGCTCCCAGAACCCCCACTTCTCTTCCTGTGAGTGGGCCTGTGTAAATACCAAAGCCAAGATGTCACTCACTGGTGCTAGTGTCACACGGGTGGGTGACCGTTCAAATGAGACCAGTGGCCAAGTTCCCAGTCCTGCCAGTGGAGCACCTTTCAATATTCCCTTCCAGCTGAGCTTCTGGCCCTCATCTCTCTTAAAATCTGTTTCTAGTATGGTTGCTTTATTGTTGTTCTTCCTACTCTTTTGCCTTTTAAGACAACTGCCTTACGCGAGAGTCTTAGGGAGAGGTTAAAAGCAAACATTAAAGCCAGACTGTCTAAATTCACACCTTGTCTCTACCACAATTACTCGGAATCCTTTGAACAAGTCACCTAGTCATTTGTCTTAGTTCTCTTACCTGTTAGAGGGGCAGGGGCCGTAGGGCCCACCCTGGCAGCTGGTGGAAGCTGGTGGATTACTGGATGGTTAATGCTAAACAAAGCCTAACACATAGTGAGACTCATACAGGTCAGATCCTGTTCTTATCTCAAACTTTGCTCCCTTCTTCCTTCTCCATATGGTCCCTGTTCTTGGTATTGTGGGAACTCTGCCACAGAACACTTCCCACATGGAGACTAAGCTCTGCTTTGAGGAATGGGGCACTAGGAAGACACATGCTCCCACACTGGGCCCTAGATCCTCTATCTGCCCAGCCTGGAAGGTGGAATTTGCTCTCTCTCAGGCCCTTTGGTCCTCTTACCCTCTATCTCGCCTTCTGTTTGGTTTGCCCTTGCCTTGGCCTCCTTCTGTGAAAAATTCTCAGAGTAGAAGACACGCAGCTGTCTTCAGCTGTCCTTCAGCTCCTGCCGTGACAGGGAACTGAAAGTCATTCGCAGATTCCTGTTCTCGTATTGGTGCTGTGGTCCTGGATACAGCATTTCATGTCTCTGGATTTTGGCTCCTCAGTTTGAAGATGGGATGACTACTCTTTTGTCTTTGTACCTCTTTCAAGAGGAACAAAGATGGGATAAGAAACTGGAGACACTTTGCTGGTCTCTGGATGCTGCAGATGTCCAGCCCTCATCTCCCTGGTGCCCGTCTCCTCCATGTGTGAGGAGAGCTGGGGAGGCCTCCCTGGTATCCCTGATATGGCAGCTAGGGAGTGAAATCAGTGCTGGCAGAAGGAGAGCTTCTGTTTCTTCTGGAGACCAACACCAGAGTTTGGAGTTCCTTTCCCTCCTTCATCTCAGTTCTCCCTTTCACCAACATTCAAGGCTAGCAGTCACTTCAAAGAGCTTGGACTCTTTTCAAAGATGTACTTGCTCTTTGCTGCTCTGTTTGTTTGGATGGGGAGGGAACATTTTACAGACGCCAGGGCAGCACCGCAGAAGGCTATTTGCTGGGAGACCTTGAGACAGCTCTTGTAGGGCTTTTGTGATCCTGTCTAGAAGAGAGAAGGAGGTGGGGCTGTGGCAAGAGCTGAATTTGCTTCTCTGTTATCCAATGGACCAGCGCCAGGCTGATGCCCACAACACACTCTTAACATGCAAGTTTCCTGGTTCCTTCTCTGGGTTGGGTCTGTCCTTTTTATTACTCCTCATCCCCTGCCTGCCCTGGTGTTCACCAGGGAGCTGTAGAGTAGTATCCATATTAAAGTATTATTGGGGTTTTCCTTTTGTGGGGTTGCTCAGGGTTACCAGGAGATTGTCATCCATAATTATGCAAATTAGGGGGGGACCTCTGTGGGCCTCTGTAACGATGCAGAGTGGACAGAGTGTTGAGGAAACTTGCAGGTGAGATCCTAGAAGAGACTTGGCTCTCTGCTGTACTAACCTATTTTTTGCGCTATTTGTTTATCTGTTTGCATGGTATGGGATTTGAACTGAGAACTTCGTGCTTTCTAGACAGCACCAAGTACTCTATGATTAAATCATATCTCCAGCCCTTTTTGTACTGGTTACTTCTGAGATAGGGTCTTACTCCCCGCCCAGGTACATACCTGGACAACAGTTTACCAATTTTAGGCTTTCCATAGTACCTGGGGTGACAAGCCGGCACCACCATGAAGATGGAGTCTTTCCATGAAGATGGAGTCTTCCAGATATCTCTGCCTGAGATTGGCCTGAAACTCAATGCTTCCCATTGCAGTTTGAGATGGCAGACTTGTACCACGACACCAAGCCCCGGGTTGAGAAGGGGGATCTTGAAAACATCTTTTCCTGGACTGGCTTCAAACCGAGATCCTCCCCCTCTCAGCCCCCTAAGTGACCCTTAGGATGCTAGGGATGACTCATCAGCACTGGCTCCCTCTGGATTTTGAAGTAGAAACTAATAGGGTTATTTTTTCTAACCCTGGTCAGGTGAATCTGTTCCATTCATACCTGCTGACACAGGTTATGATTTAAGACACTTGAGCTAGCAAGCAGGGAGCGTGGGCTAGCGCTCCCTGATAACTGACCGTGTCAAGAGATTCTCCCTTGTGTCTAGCTCCATTGTGACTTACCTGGCCGCTCAGTCTCTACGAAGCGATGAGGGATGTTTTCTTACCCAGACTCCTTTGCAACTTCACTGCCCCTTGTCCTGGAAACAGCCCCGTATTCACCTGTGCTCTGAGGTAGAAAATGGAATTTATTGGACACCAGCCCAAGTCTTCCAGGACCTTCTTTCCTATTTCCGTCTTTCCACAACTCACTTTCCCCAAATTCAAAGCGCAGCTCCACATGTCTGCTCAGAAATCACTTTCTCATCAGGCCAAGGACGTTTCAAAGTTGCTGTGTTTTCTCTATCATTTCCTTTCCTCCCTCCCCCCCCCACTTCCTGTTTTTTTTCCTTCCTCTTTCTGCACTCCCACCCCATCTCTCCTAGCTTGTCTGAGAACAGGAACAAAGTCCAGAGCATTGATAATCATAATTTCCTGCCAAGCCCTCTGGCTGTGGCTGCGCAGAGGCCAGCCCAGCCTCCCTGAGGCACCAGTCCCTGAAGGGAGGTCCTGTGGGAGACTCTGGCCTTCAGGATCTGGTAGGAAAGATCCTTCAGTCCCGAAAGACATTTAAACTTCCCAAAATGCATTTGTGTTAAAACTGTAGAATGAATAGATAACTCTGTTGTTCAGGTCTAATAACTAGTCTAGTTCAAATGGACAAAAATAGATTTAGGAGTTAGATGTAGGTTTATTTCTGCTTTTAAATTATTTTGTCTTTATGACTCTGAAAGCCATTTTAGCTGGAAGGCTTGGTGCACTAGTTTCTTAGAAAATGGAGTTAGTAGCAAATCACAAAAAGGTTTTGAGGGCCAATTGGAGAAATATATCTAGAAAATGCACACGATACACTTGACAGATAAGAGTTGCTTGTTTTTCTCTAACTTGGTTTTCTGCACAGAGGAGTAGTTGTTCAAATAGAGGAGAGCTGGAAAAATCCCATAAGAATTGGCACTCATTGGAGGAGAGCCCATTTCTATTATTTGTATTTTTTTAAAACAGAGAGAGGAGGGCAGATAAAAAGAGAGTCTGGCTAAACAGCAATGCACCACCATCTTCCATATAGTGATCTTTCTTCTTTTCTTCCTTCCTTCCTCCCTTCCTCTCTTCCTCTCTTCCTCTCTCTTTTTCTTTTCTGTTCTTTTTTTTCTGTGCTAGTACTGGGTATTGAACTCTGGGACTACTGCTGTCACTTGACTTTTTTGCTAAAATCTAGCTCTATCACTTGGGATCCTCTTCCAGTTTTTTGCTGGCTAATTTGAGATAAGAATCTCACAGACTTTTCAACTCAGATTGGCCTTAAACCATAATCCTCACATCTCAGCTTCTCAAGTAGCTATGATTTCAGTCATGATCACTACTGCCCAGCTCAAAACAGTAATTCCAATGAAAAACAAGGAAAGAATCATGACCATGTGCCTAAAAGTGGACTACTTTACTAACTTAGCTGTCCATGGTTAAACCAAAAAAAAAAAAACCCTTTTTCCAGCAATCAGAAAAAAGTTCCATCTCCCTTTATAAAAAAAATCTGCTTAAAACAAAATGAAAAAAAGAAAGATTTTCCCTTATAGCTAATTTTTCAGAAAAAAATCCTAAAGGTCAACACAGTCAGAGGCATGTTTAAATCAGGATTCTACTCTCAAATGGCTGAGCTTTGGAGGCTGTTTTCTTCTCTAAGCCTCAGTTTCCCAACTACAGAATGGAAGAAATAGGAGAGATAATCTCATAGATGATTACTGTCCCTTGAAATTGCTGATCCTCTGACTTTCTGCATGGAGACACATTGTGACTGGGAAAGGAAATTGTCTCATATAGTAATGTGACTTGCATTCCCTTTCTGCAGAGAGCACTCCCTTAAGGACAGAGACTCTCTCGGGGAACACCGACCTGCTCTGGAAAGCCACGTGCTGTGGTATCACAGCTACTCCACTGGGGTTCATCCCTTCAGCCTGGAGTCGTGAAACAGGATCCCAAGAGACATTTCCAGGTAATGACCACCTGACGTTAGGTGTAGCACAGCAACAACCAGCATTTTAGTAGGAAGTATGTAATGTGCATATTTATAGGTGCTTTGAAAGTACTAGTGATGGCCATTTCACCAGGTTAAACCCAAGAAAAAGAGCATAAATAAGAACTAATATGCATTTCAAGGAAAGTGTAATGTTGAAGTTGCTCAAAAACCTTAGGGCTTTTTAAAGCCGTATTCTCAACAGAACCTGTGCTATGCTGTGTGGTTTAAGTGTTTAGGCACGAAACAGAGGAATTGAAGAATGACCTGCAGGGTAGAAACAGATTTGAGCAGGAGTTTTAGTCACTTCCTTCCACAATCCACATACGATTAAGCAGAGAACAGAGAACGTCCATTAGCTGGGGTTTTATTCTTCCCCTCTGGACCCACCAAATTGATACACACAGGGGGGATATATTAAAATGGGATTGAAGCCTCATGTTAGAGACCTGATTTACATCCTACTTGCTGTTGCATTTTTTAGTGACAAATTTGCTTCATAAAGTTATTGTCCAAGAGCCTTTGCAGTGGACAAGCTACAGCTAACCATTTCCACCTTCCTGACTACCAGCATGTTGAGTTTCTCTCTTCCTTCACTTCTTTCCAACCATTTGTGGGCATTTTCCTTCTGTGACAAAAGATTTGGCCACATCTACTTGAACTTCTTCATTAGATTTGCACCTGATGTGAGCTGGCGTGCCTCTTAGTCCCCAAAACATCTGTTGGGGGGTCTCAGCTCCCTGGACTCCAGTACATCAATATACTATACTTTTAGGCACACTCAAAGTCAAGTTCAGAAAGCATGAAGGCAATGGCTCCCACACGAAGATAGCCACATCCTTTAGTCTTACATTGGTAGCTGGTGTTAACCTGCTGTGGTCTTCCAACCTAAAGGTCTTTTTCAGTTAGATGATACCAAGTTTCCCTGAAAGCTAAGATCAGAAGCATTTTATAAATCCATGCATAGGACCAGATGACTGCTGATGCACCTTCCAATGCTAATTTCCTTGGATTCTTAGACCCCGACGTGTTCCTTCTACTACACTCCATCTATGGTGGACAGGTTGACTTTGTCTGCTTTCTCCTTCTTCCTTTTCTTACTTCTTCCTGTAGAGTGATCCCTGAGCTGTGACATTATCCAGAAGAAAGAGAAGAGCTTTGTGTATTATATAGACCTGATTGCATCTCTCAGATTGGCTATTTATTGGCTTGGTTATTTCACTTAGATCATTTGAAATCCCCAAGTTTCTATTTGCCCAGGGAAAGGTGGGGTCAGTGTGAGTGTATTATTGTGGTGAGGCCACTATTCCCCGAGTGCTTTGACTTCATCCTTGTCCCCTTCAGTACTGGATCTACATTAAGTTCCTCCCAGAAGCTTCTTCCCTGCAGGCAAACATATTTTCAAGGCCCAAAAGGAGGGCTCTAGTTATATGGAGACAGATGTCCTGGTCTGAGACTCAGCAAGGCAGCTAAATTGCAAGCACATTCTCATCTGAGTTTTCACTTTCTTCCTTGGATGCTCACTTCTTTGGGCATTTGTCTCTCTAGTTGTCCATTCATTCAGCAAATATTTATGGAACATGTGTGTGTGGTATGTGACAGGTGCTGCTTGGTGCTAGGGATTCATCACAGAACAAAATAAAGTTCCTGTTCTCAGAGAGCTGGCATCCAAGCAGGGTCAGGGATCATCAACAATTAGCGAGCATGTGTCTATTACAGCAGGCAGTAGCCAGTACTGTAGAAAAGTATAATGAAAGCAGAAAGAATTAAATAAATAAAATAAGCCAGAGAACTAGGGAGTTAGCAAAATGTTACTGCTCTTATGAAAAAATGCTGAGGAAGGACTCCCAGAGAAGGCAAGATCTAAAGAAAATGGTAAAACAAGGCTGAGAAGAATCTGAATAGCACAGACTCTGAAAGGAAGTGTTCCTGGCCTTTATGGGTCAGAGTAACCAATGTGATTGAAACAGGAGGATTGAGGGGACAGTGGAAAGAGATGAAGGCAAAATGGAGTGGGGCCTGGAAGATCTCACTAAAGACTTAGGCGTTTATGTTCTAGCTGGCTTTTCCTGAGATTCTTCTCCCCTTCCTCTCTCCTCCCCAGTATGCTTAAAAGACCCCATCACAAAAGCATCCCTAAGTAGAAATAAGGATGGGTGCTAGTTATGAGAATGAGTATTAGTCATTCATTCAAAAATCTTTACTGGGCCCTGGCTCCTGAAACTCTAGAAATGAATGAGTCTTGGCTCCATCCTGAGAACTTGGCCTGAATGCTTCCTTCACACTTCATGGGGAAATTCACCAGTAAGTTAGGTTGAAGTAAACAGTTGTTGGGATTTGATTATCATAGAAATAATTGGCTCAAGTAGGAGGTTTCCACTGGAATCTCCTATAGATCATTTCTATGGACATTTTGAATTCCTTTGGATAGAAGAGGATCAATTCATTCAGCAAATGTCTGGGTGCCTCTTCTCTTTCAGCTCGCATGTCCAGCCCTGGGTATCACTGGTGATCATATTCAGCCTCTTGAATTATTTGTAGCTTTACAAGGCCATGTTTGGATAGAACAAATGTCAGAGAGCCCAAGGAGTTGCTGCTCACCCACACAGAGGGGTGGTAAAGCAAAGATGCTCTCTAGGGACATATCTCCTTCCACTGTTTTCTAGAGTTAAGGAGGGGTTACAGTTACATAAATAAGGTAATGATTCCATGGCTTGTTGAACTACATGTCTATTTTATGCCTCATCTCTGGATCATTATGAAGTCCTAATCGCCTCTGCTATTAAGAATGTTTACAGACATCAATCCAATAAGATGATTGACAGCAGGAGATGGATACAAAGGCTCCTTACGCTTTCCAGTGCCCCCATGAGTGATGAATGCTGGGAGGTTTCATGTCCCACTTAGGTGCACAGATTCTGAGAAATGGATAAATCATGAGCCTTGTTTCTGATAAGTTTATACTACTCTGATCAAAATAATAGAATTTAAGGTCCTTTACATTTCTTCTGGTCAGCACACAAAGGAATAGTTTCCACTTCTTAACTCTCTCTCCATCTACTAAACACTCAAATAAGACTTTTCTTTTTAGAAAGTTGAAATTCATTAAATAGATGATTTCTAAGTATGTACAACTGGCCAGATGCTGTGGTGGGTCTGTGAACATGAAGACAGATCTGGCATGGTCAGGCCCTCAAGTTGGCTGTTATTGTGTGACACAGATGACAGAGGTGCCAACAGTGACAGGTGTAGATATTGGATTGGAGTCCTACTATGAACTACATGATGTGGATACAAAGCAGGGAACAGGAAATCATGTTCTCTGTCTACCCAAGGACATCAGGGAAGGTTCCAACAGAAACCGTATGAGTTGGGCAATGAAGGATGAACCGGAGCTGGAGACTGGAAGAGAGATACTCCTGGTAGAGAAGTACACTATAAATAAGGTCCAATATCCAATTCTCTGTGATGGTGGTGGGGAGGAAATGGCAGAGAACTGATCGTACACCACCGATCATGCCTCAACTATGCTTTTCAAAAATCCATTACTAGCCACCTCCTCACCCTCCCACCCTGTTCTCTGTGATGACTAAAAAGACGCGAACTGACTAATTTGAGCTGATCTTTTTTCTGACCCCATGGAGGTGTTAGTGAACAGAATAGATAATGGGGACTGTGAAAAGAAGTAGAAAGAGGGGGAGGAGGAATCCATCACTGTCTTCAAGAAACACTGACTCCCTGATGGCAAAATGTAGGTTTACAGAGAGCTGAGTCTGCTACTCCTAGAGCAAACTGTACCTGTTCCCCCTCTTCCTTCTTCTGAGACACATGTGTGCACACAAGCATACATGACACATGCACACACATGCAGATGTATAGATAGCATATGGGACTGTATGTACACACTACGGTTACTAGGGTATTATTATCCAGACTTTTTAGTCATCCCACCTTCCTCCTGCATGCTGTGTATCAATCGTCTATAAACAGAGGGGGGTATGTTGAGGAGACTGCAGCTGGGACATGCCGTTGGCTCAGAGGCTTTTGGCTTGGAAAAGGCCTGGTGTTCTACAGCTCCTTGGTGCGGAATATTCAGGTCCTATACAACAGGCTTACAGAACCGAAGTCAGCCACAGTGAGGAGTGCAGTCAGACGTCACTGGTGTGTGACACAGTCTGTGCCATTAGAATGCCCAATGGTTGCTAAGCAACCGCAGATGGGGGAGGGATGTTTTTGAACAAGGAGGTTCTCAGAAGCAAGGAGGAGGTCCAGGGCAAGCTAGGGGAGTGGTGGATAGCAGAGAGGGCATTATGAGTGAAAGAGGAAGGCCAGCTAGGAAGAGTTGGCTCATAGGGATCTCCTTCTTTTAAGGGTACTGAGGTTTGAACACCTGGCCCTGTGCTTGCTGGGCTGGTGCTCTACCATTTGTGTCACGCTTCCAGTTCTTAGTCCTTCAATTATCTCTTGAGTAGAATCTCCAGCTGGCTTGTACCTCTTACCCTACTATTCCTGCTTCCCACGTAGCTACAATGGCAGGCACCCATCTTCACCCACCTTTTGATTGGTTGAGAAGGGGGTCTTGGGTACTTCTTTTGGGCTAGGCTCGCTAAATCCTTCCTCTCTTCTATCCTCTTTGCCACCCTTATCTCCACCTCCCCGTAGCTATATTCTAAACCTGGGCCACTGATCTGGGCTGATAGTGACTTTGTGACACTGATGGAGGCAGCGAGTTCTGGCAAAAGCCCTTTCTAAATAAATGTTTGCAGGCCTCAGGTGCCTAGCTGACTCCTCTTTGCTGAGCTCTGATGTCAGAGAGGAGGAGGAACTCAAGACATGTGAGTAGAACCAGCTGGCCCAAGCCAGCCTCACGACTGCTCCCAGCTGAGTGAGCACAGGCCTCCACTGTGCAGGGCCTGAGCCTCCTGCCCTAGTCCTCTCGAAGGGCCCACAAAGCCTTGCTTGTTCTCCCCTGACATCAG